AATGGAGAGATTGTATTTTACGTTTTTCTTTCTTTATAAGCATAACACGTACAGAATGTAGTACAAATTTTTGAAAACGAATCATAAGTTAACATTAATTGTATATAATCCTCAAAACAGTAACAGCGGTTACTAAACTTTTTGGCTTTTGACCCCATTTTGCCATCACAAATTGCTGATGCACCAAAGAATTTCACGTGATCCCAGCCCTAGATCAAGATGCATCGGCTCGGATAATTTTATTTGCTCAATTTTGAACTGAAAATATTAATCAGAATATTAAAAAGAATAACAGTTAGTTAAATAATTATTTTTTGTATCAATTACTAGACATTTCAGGCGACCCCTTTTAAATTCGAGACGGCTTAAAGTGGAGTCGCGACCCTAAGGTTGAAAACCACTGCAGTAAGATACGTGTTCCCCGTCGCTCTTTGGCCGTTTTCACGCTGCCATTTTATAACCACCCTATTCTTTTTAGCAGAGAGGATCAGATGGGATTCCTCTGTGGTTCCCTTTCATTGATCCTTGCCTCGCGGAGCTGCTGCACGCTGTTCCATTTCAGCTAAATTAATGGAAGTTCTGAGGAAAAGTAATTTTGTTCCCATTCTGTAATGACTCTGTGGTATCTGTCAATATTCCTGCAGAGCTCATAATTAATTTCAAACGCACCTCCGTCTGTAGGAGGGCTGAAAACATTGATACTTGGAAACTTGGTTTCCCCCTAAAATCTTCACTGTAAAGGACTTCTCCTCAGAAGTTTCTGGGTTTTGTTTTTTTTTTTTTTCTTCTTTCCAGACCTGTCCGCTCCAACACACAGATGTATGGCAATTCTCTTTAAACCTGGTGCACCGGTGAGTGAGCGTGTGTAGGATTATCATCCCCTTGACATCAAGGAAAGTTTAAATCCATGTTATGAAACAGAAGTTCCATCTTGGATGACACATCGACGAGAAGATACTAAAGTTCCTTTGATATATTCTTATTGCATTGTGAAATATCACCACTCATCTCCCCAAAGCCCTAATGTAATATCAATTTTATGAGAGTCATCCTCCACCACTTCAGTGGAGTCAGAGTGCAGTGTGTGCCTGTGCTGGTGCTGTGCTAGCGTGTCAATGAAATGCTAATTCTTAGCCATGTGTCATTGCTCTCCTTTCACATCTCCTGTTCTCTTTTTTGGTCTGGGTGTGTGGTTGACGGTGTGCACCTGTGTGTGAAACTAAAGTTAACGAATCAAATTTAGTTAATGCAGAAAGTAACCGTGTAACCCAGGGAAACGTTGTGACTTTGAACCTGACATGCTTTAAAATGGGAAATGTCTCTAGGTTTTTTATTAAAAAAAAAATTAAAAAAAAAATCAAATGTCTCTAGGTTTTTTATTTAAAAAAAAAAAAAAAAAAATCAATTTTTACCCATTTATTTTTGCAATGCACAGCAATTTGCAGCATACGGTTGGAAATTTGCCTCGGAACCTTCTCCTTCTCATTACAGCCGAATATTCTGCCTTCCTTTTAAATGTGTAAAATCTTTCCCTGAACTTCATTCGGAGAAGTGAAAAATCCGGTAAGCTAATATGTCACAGTTTTGAAATCGCAGAAAACATTGCAATAAAACAACATGTAAATAATCAAAGATGAATGCAGAGATGTTCTATTTACCTCTGAATACAAATAATTCGGAGGTACTATAAGGTAAATATATGGTATAGTAGATGAAGATGTTCATCAAATCTCATTTACTTTTTACCTCCAAGTTATTCAAACATGACGACGAACCTCAGATCTTTTATTGCGGTCGCCTTGGCAATTAAATCATCAAACTGAATAAACAAACTATGCCTTCCAAACTAATCCTGGCCACTTCCTCCCTGTTTGCTCATCAATCTTTGTAATATCAATTCACCCTCTTTCACTCCTTGAATTGCTTAAAGGTTGCATTTTGTAAAAAAAAAAAAAAAAA